GCACTGTTCTACCGAGAGCTTCAAAAGCTAGAGCGTACGAGGTTATCAAATGAATTTGAAGATAGCTTACAAGAGCCAAATACTTCACAATTTACATTAAGGGTCGAGCCGATTCAAGAGTCGCTCAATAACCAAACGTCACGCTCGCGGCAACAGAAAAGTACGTTCCCGTCACTAACAAGTGGTAATCTGAAAATGGGACTTACAATCCTAGCAATTCTAGCTTTTACAGGATCCTATTGCAAAATTACCAGTTGCGTAATGGTATAGTGGAAATTGCTGGGAAAACGCACCCATACGAGCTATGCTTCAACGAAGATTGTCGCAAGTTTGTAGGCGATGGCATAGCTATGACTTATGAGCTGCCTATCTCGCCGCTTCATAATGCAACCAACGTTACCGTCAACTACATCAACAATGAAGGGCCAATGGTCTTTACAACTATTTGCGCAAACCCTGAGTTTTGCTCAAAATCAAATTCACTATTCAGTCCATCATTATTAGGCAATCCCCACTGCTGGCCGGTGGGTGCTATTGTAAGTGTAGCATTGATTGCGTATTTCATGATGGTAATCATGATAATACCAATCTGGTTTATCGTATCTCTGTTTAGGTCCAGGGATAGCCAGCCTTCAACTAACATTCAAATCAATTGTAACAATACCACTCATGCTGAAAATATTAATCTTCATTCCTGGAACCCAGCGCCTCTGAGCGGTGGTCCTGCTTATCACATTGTGCATAACTTTAGCGGCCATTTGTAAAGGTGCAGCAGCCTGCCAACATGGCTTTACAAGGCATGCGACTGATATCATCTGTAACCAGGATGGAATTTGCAGCTACGAGTTCAGCAGGGAGTTTCTATTCAATAGAATACAAACTGTGCACTGTATAGAGATCCGTTCACAAAATAAAACAGTTGGGTTTCTGAAAATGAGAAACACTGCAGTAATCCTGACATGTTCGAAAGTTTCGAAATTCTTCTCTAAAAGCACTGAACTCAGAATTTACTCTAGAGTTAGATGTGCACAGATGGGGTCATGTCATGGAAATGTGTGCGATCTTATGCGCCCTAACCAGACGGTATCTGAGCTGTCAAGAGCAAGAAAGTACCCAGGGTACTCGGGATGTCAATACACATGCGGGGGCTTAAGCTGTGGATGCGCTCTACCTTCCCCTTCATGCACCTTTTACAGGGTTGCCCATGTACCCATTTCGAAGCAAGTATTTGAAATAATAGAATGCAGAGACTGGGTACCTAGCGTGCAGGTTGAGTTGGAAACAACTCTGTTCGGAAAGACCCAAAAAGGAAGTCTTTTCTTAGAGCCGTACCTCACTTCAAAGTTCTACACTTTCAACGTTACAGCTGTGTCAGTGCAGAAACCAACGTTATCTTTGCTTGGTAAGAGGTTCGCTATATCACAAAATAGATCCATGATCTTACCGGACCAGTTCGTGGTACCGGTCGAATGTGCAACCCTCGAAGAAGCAACAATGAACTTTCAGAATTGCGTTAATAAGATTATCTGTGACTGTAACACCGGTTGGACTAAGCACCATTGCCAATGTCCACAAACATCGCTCCGGCAAATCAGTACTAATAGTGATCATATACTGCCACTAAGTACGCCATCCATGGAGATACACAGCAATGGCAGAGAGATATTCGCTATCTCAGCTGACGTTGAATCAACTGTTACAGTACAATCCAGATTTCTTATGGAAACCGTCAACTTTGTCGACGATGAGAAATGCAAAGTGGAGCTAAGTTCGTTGACAGGATGCTATAACTGCATTCAAGGAGCACAAATCACTGCTCTCTGTGAAACGAAAAATCCCACGGAAGTTGCCGTGCACTGCGCGCACAACACATTCGTCATAGAATGTGGTCCAACGAATCCGCAAAACGTAGTTAAACTCAGCTACGACCATGCAGTAGTCAACCAGCACTGCTTCAGCGTATGCGGTAACGAAAATGTTACTATACCGCTCAATGGTACCCTTTTATATCATGCTGAAAGGCACCAATCAGTATTTGATTTCAACCAGGAGTTGAAACATAAACAAAATTTCATGGAGTCGATAGCAGACATCAAAATACCGGACTTAAGTCCACTATTAAATACCATACGAGCTCATTGGAAGCTTGCAATGGTTGCCGCTACATCCGTTATGGTTTTTAGCAGGCTTATCTTATCTTTTTGGTCCGTTTATTTTGATCACTGTGGCTAGCCTCGTGATCAGAATCATCAAATGGTTTTTCAGTTTATTAACGAAACTATCAAGTGCTGAGCGAGCACATAAATAACCGTTATTATATAATTTGTTCCATAATAACTTTACACTTTACTTTCAAATATCGCCGTCTACTCAACTGGAGAAGTTCACCTCAGTCATCATCAAACTCCACAACTTAACAGACCAAAGCTTCTATCAGAACCCACATGTAAAACCGGTATCACATTATCACTATCATTTCGTTTCTTTATCGAATTCCACATTTTCAACTAATCTAATTTCACGCCATTTCCACTCATCCGATCTCCAACTCTACATGCTGAGGATCACCCGACTACGAACACCTGTCACCACCCATCAAACACTTTATCAAAGCTGGTAGGAATAGATCTCTTCATTTAGTTATTACACCATACCGTTCATTAATTTAATCTCAACCATTTTTCACTCCACTGCCACTTCACGCGAGGCCAACACCGTAAGATGCGACCACTTCCAACTACCAGCTGCCCACAAGAGTCAAGGGTTCCAAACCATCACCAATAATCACTTGTCATTCGCCCACAAGTTACGAGGGTCCTGAAGCTGCACACTCCTGACGTCATATCACATTTCAAAAAGCAATTACTATGTCTATGCTACCTTCTCGTAATTGTACATTATTCCTCTTTCATCTTCTCTCATTCCCTTTTGTCGCCGCGGAGTGTTCTGGCATGCCACCAGAACCTTCCCACCTAATCTCACCTACGCACTCATCTCATCACCTCACCACTCCTTGAGCACATAAATGTCACTCAAATGATACCACAGGCGCGGCCTCGTTTGAGACTGAGAGGCACGCCCAGAATCCAAGCTAGACAATAAACATTCTACCACTGTATTCCCCCGAACCACAACGATATTACAAGAAGTCCTACACATGAATCATTGATTATAGCATACTTATACTCCACTATCACTAATTAGGTAGTCTTTCTCGACGAGGTGAATGCTGTCACTATTGTTCAAATGCAGTGCTGTCTCGCTTTTTATAGACACTGCCCATAAAGCTGCCCTTCGCCTAATCTTCGGATCTTTCCCTTCGCCACGAACAAGAAACGATACCAACCAGTTTTGTTGAAGTTGTCCGGTGGACGAGTAAACAGAGTATTCTGTTGTATTGTGCCAAGTCGCGCCATTCCATTTCTGAAAGTCATCATCAGGGGCGGTATTCAATCCTTCCCCAGGGGGTTGGGGGACGGAAATCCCTTTAAATTTTCCCTGTCTTCCCGAATGGGGTTGTCCTGATAAAGGGGCCTACGTTTAATGTATTTATGTATGTCAATGTAATCATGCGTTGAAAATGAAGAAACTACATCGTTCTAAACAAATAAATTTAAAGGGATTTCCGTCCCCCAACCCCTGGAGGGAAGGATTGAATACCGACCCAGGTGTGTAGAGGTAAGATTGATCAATACCTCAAGCTCATACCTCGCATCGCCGCCGCTCAGATTGTTGTTCCCGTCCATACTTCACGTGCGAGTGTCCAACAGTAAGCTGCAAAACAAAACGTGGACGAAGAAGAAAAACGAACGAGAACAAAAAAACGGAAAACGAGAACGAGAACACAGCAGCGCTAGAAGGGCGTTTTCGACAAAAAGGAAAAGCACCAGCGGCCAGGGCAGCCGTGTAACACTAATAACAGCACGTGTGCAGATAGGCATTTAGCGTTGCTCAGACGGCGTTCTAACGCGACAGAGAACGCTAAGTGCCTTTCTGGCACTTAGCGGTTGCTTTGACGCGTTAGAACGGGGGGGGGGGGGCAGTCGCCGCGCGCGGCTCAGCGATGTAGTGTAACTCGAACATTCCAGCTTCTCACGCATGCTAAGTGACTGCCCTCACCCCACCCCTGAATTGGCTACATTCCCCCTGGCTCACGAATTTCCTGTTGCCGCAACGCCGCGCGCGGCGGCTGCCCCCCCCCCCCAGCCACATTGCGCCCGAGATTGAATACGTATGGATCTATTCGCGTGGAGACGCATGTAATACTACTCTCCAGCGATTCCGATCGACATGTATTCTAATCTTCCAAGTCACGAACTACGCAGTGGATGTTAGTACAATAGCAATTCGGGGTCTTATCCAGTAAAGGGCATAGCGATCTAGAGCATTTCAAACCATGGAAAGCACATTATTTTATTGTAGACGTTCAGGACTAAGCCTTAGAAGGGAAGGAGCCCCGGGTCCGTGAGCAATCTTGGTTTTCCCCGGGGGACTTCCTCCCCCTCCTAGGCTTAGTCCTGACCTGCTGACTAGGTGAATTACTTTTCGTAGACGTTAATGTCATCTAGTACAAAGAATACATACATTACACAAAACACCTGAAGAAATAACATAGGAAAAAAGCTGATAGCAGCTCGTAAACTTTAAAGGACTCCTTGAGCCAAATTGGCATTAGAGCAGACCGTGCACCGCAATGCCCCCTCTTACCGGATGAGACCCGCAACTCGATAAGGCCAGCGAACGGCTCCCCTACTTTCTTCACGATTTGGGGCGCGGCCGCGGCGAGCGCGGACGAGTCCACAGTGCCCGCGAACTGTGGTGGTGGAGCGTTTTCAAATTTTAATCAGTTTTGAAACAGTTCGCGGGCACTGTGGACTCGGCTGCGCCCAAATCGTGAAGAAAGTAGGGGAGCCGTTCGCTGACGTTATTGCAGTCGCCATTGCACTAACATCCACTGCATAGTTCGTGACTTGGAAGATTAGAATACATATCGATCGGAATCGCTGGAGAGTAGTAGATTAGGCGTTCTACGCGAATCGATCAATACGTGCAATGGCGCAATGTGGCTCGAGGGGGAGGGGCGCGGTCGCTGGCGCGGCGCATGGCATGCTCCCGCCCTCTCAGCAAATTGCGTAAACTCAAACATTCCAGCTTTTAACGCAAGTCAAATGATTCGTCTCCTCCACTGCACTTCTTACACTCCCCTGGCTCAGTGATTTCCCGCTCGCACTAATGTACGAGAAAATGCGACTCGTCGCGGCCTTGTCTGCCCTTCCCTTGAGCCATATTGCGCCTAGACATGTATTGATCAGGACAATGGGAGATTAGGAGGTCGCGTTTCTCTTTTCTCAACTCAGTAATAACCAATTAATCCTTTCAGCGCAAACTCCTCTCTTAATACCTTAATCTCGTACTGTTGGTGTCAGATCGCAGTCGCGGGTGTGGAGGGGGGGGGGCGTCCAGCGCAAACCGTACGGATCAATAACGACCGCCCCACTCGTGACTGCGATCGTGGTTGCAGTCGATTGAGTCGACAGAAGTCTGTCGCCTACCTTATCTATTGACTGGTTTGCCTCGCTCTCAATCAGCAAGTGTCTTCTAATACTTTTAGGAGAATATCCTGATCTCTAAATAAAAACATATCTTTTTCATTTCCGGCTAATCTCCTGAACTCTCATATCGTGGAGTATAAATGCGGTCTAACAAATCCTTTAATTCCATTAGCTCGAAGGCGAACAAACTCGATTGGGTGCTCAAGAGACCAATTCCATCACTAGGATGTACGTCACTATTTCACAACCACAAAAATCCTTGAAAAGAACCCGCCAACACATCGCTCTTGCGAGAGGGAGGTCGGGTGTGGTTCACTGGAGTAGAAAGCGACTTTTTCGCAATTAAGTGTGGGTCAGACTCTGCGATTGCGATGCAGTCGCTCTTGCAATGTGCACAAGCGACGGGCGATTGGCCCCGCCCACATCGATGCAGTCGACATCGGTATCGATCGCGGCGGGCCATTGCCCGCCGCTTGCACTTTTGGCAGAGCGACTGCATCGCGCGATGCAATCGCAGAGTCTGACCGACATCTTCAGCAGCGGCGGGACATTTTTCGCCGCGGAAATGTCAAGTCCACCGCTGATCACCAGTGGACGCGAGGTTCCCCTACGAGAAATGTTTTGCTCTGCGAAACGCGAAAAAAGTCGCCTTCTGTCCCAGCTAAACCAACGCCACCGACGGAGGTTAGAACAGAATCCGTTAAAATTTCTTCTAAGCTTTCCGACCGAAATCGCTCCGCCGAGAATTTTTATATTATATTATATATTTGCATATACAGCAGCGCTCGAAAGTCTTTGGCCAAATACTTTCGGCTGTAACTTTTTTCCTGATTAAACAAATTAGCTCAAATTTTGATATGTTTTGGAAACAAGGCTCCTTCAATAACCAGCATATTCACGTTGAATGGAAAAGTTAAGAATGACTAAATTCCAAACCACAATTAAAAAAAAAAAAAAAAAAAAAAAAAGAAAAAATAAAAGCTAGTGTAAAAGTTCACCATCGCCACCGTAACCATCGACTCACACAATGATAAATAGTTATGCAGCAGACTGAATCGCTGTTGATAACTGTGCTGGAGTCCCTTGAAAGCTTCACGACGGCTGCAAGAAAGGGATCACCAAATGAACCTCGTCTGTCTCTTTGAGCGTACTTCTCATATCTCGGGCGTCGAGAAGGGTGGTTGGCAGGGACGAGTTTGTCTCCTGATTTGTTCTGGCTCCTTCCTGCTGCCCGAAGGTTTCGCTCAATCCTTTTCCATGGTAAACTCCAAAAAAAAACCTCCCCCGACGTCCTGATTGGGCGTGTCCCGGAAATGACGTGGCAGGCCTACGCGTACTGTATAGCCAATTGCGTGAAAGCATGCTTCCGCATGCAATGCCTCGCTGAATATCTGTGCGGAGTATCTTCTCCAACCGTGCATCTAGCAAGCTGCCGATGGTTGCTACGGCTCATTTCGTGACACGCCGCCCACGATTATCAGAGTTCGAGATACTGGCTGTAATCTAATACTAACGCCAGACATATATTCTGCATTGGTTTCTCCCCCAGGAGCAAGCCCAAATGCTTTGCAGAACCAACTTTCGCTTAGTAGTTGTGTGAGATTTGGATTGGCTGTCCCTCTGGCCAAGAGAAAGAGAGCATTTCAGTACGCGAAGCACCGTATCTGTAGGTACTAAATATACCCATATCTCGAAGTCAGATTAGGCGTGTCTATGAGTTTGCCGTGGCGGCTGCCG